TTTCTGAGCTTCTACTACATTAAAACAGATACAATAAAAAGCTGCACGAGCACAGAAATATGGTACTTAAAAAAACGTGTCTCTGAGGACAGAAAACTTGCATCAGTAGCTGCAGATTTATACTCCGGTACGAAACACAAACAAAATCCTGAAAGGATGATGGTTTTGAAGGAGCTTAAATTTAAATAAAAGATGTGCTGCAGTAAGTTGGTAAACTGTCTGATATAAAAACTGGAGTTTTATTTTTTTATTTATTTGTTTTTTTCTTTAAAGTCATGAATCCTGAGTCCTCTGGGCTCCTAAGGACTGGGATCATCTGACTTGTTATGAGCGTACAAAAAACAGCATCTATCATAAAACCAGATGTTTTGTTGCACATGTAAGAAGACACTATTAAAATTCAAAGATTTATGCATGTCCTAGAGCAACACATTCTGCCTCCCTGACACTGTCATTTTCTGTAAGGATGATCCACATCCTGCGTGTATTATAACACCGCTCTGTAGTCAAATGACATCTGTGCATAATATGAAAAAGCAGGGCAACAAAGAAGCACCCCCCACCACCACCACAATACAAAAACAATAATAGTCAATTTTAATCTGTTTTCTTTGTATTGTTTTAAATTTTGTCTTCTGCATCCTTTCCATTATGGTTTAAATAGTTTTTCAGGTACAAACTGCTGTCTTTACTTTAGAGATGAGTAACGAACCACACTGCCTCTAATATCCGAGGCTACTAAATAAAYGTTGGCGCTTTTTGTAGGAAGTTGTATATTACTGTAAAGGGAATTTTAAAAAAAGTGATGTTGAGTCGGCTCAAGTATATWTTTGTAGATGCTTGAACATGTCTAGTTATACAGCTAAGTCTGTGGTTATGCAGGCTWTTTAACAAGGAACTGAAAAATCTGTAATTGGAGGGAAGTTTATCTTTCATATTAGAAAGATTTGATCTGTGGTTTGACTTAAGTGCAGAGGGGGTTGGGGAGTCAGGGAAGGGGATGATGTCTGACAAATACTTTAAGGTCAAGGTCAGGTCTCGCACATGKACAGTGGGAAACAGAGCTGGCGGTACAGATAGAGAGGAGAACTKAAAGACGGACAGAGAGAGAAAGTGTTTATTCATAGTCTTATCCAGTGAGTTGAGAACGGCCAGCGTTGGAGCAACATGCGTAGGAGGGGTCAGTAAACACAGGGACACAGGCCTGAGAGAGTCATGTCTGCGTATCTGCACAGACATACACAACCATAACTAACTACATTATCTTTCTCTCTCTCACACACACACTCACTCTCACTCTCTCTCACACACACACTCACTCTCACTCTCTCTCACACACACACTCACTCTCACTCTCTCTCACACACTCTCTCTCTCTCTCTCTCTCTCTCTC